GAATCCCTCTCCGCTACACAAAAAAAAACCAATTGGTGCAACAAACTTTTTAACATTATCAATAATAATATAATATTAATCGATTATGAGTTTATGACACACAGTGCAATATTATTCAGTGTCGAGCGAAATTCAAAGACAGTTATTTTATGTCATCGTTACTGACGTTACTTAAAATATAACATAATACGTTCAAATTTTTATGACAATTATTATGAACTATGCAAATTAGACTAATGATTATTCGTTTAGTAAAAGTAAGGATTGCTTCACCCGCCCCTCACGCCACTGACATTGAAATTAATATTAATAAATAATTATTTATTTATAAAAGTAACGTACCGAATTATTTTTGGAATCTGCATCGAACACTACGTTCCACCGTTCAGCGTAAAGTGACTGTTTATTGCTTGTTTTCATGAGTTGAAACACTACAATTTGGTAATCGCTATTTATCATTCCCATCATGGGTTTTGCTAAAAACTTTCTATAATATAAATATTTAGCGTCAGTGCTTCATACACGACTGACCACATGACCATATTATAATGTATATTGTGCATACAAAAATTATAAAAATTATAAAATAAATAACGATAGAATTGTCACGGGTATTCAATTTCAGCTGCAAACGGATTGTCCTCAAGTTTTTTTTTTTTGTTTCCACGAGTTGTGTCCCCTCAATTTTTTTTTGAGATTACACGAGTTTCTTTTAACTTATATAAATAAAAAGTAAACAATAAATACACAAATAATCATTATAATAATATTTCAATATTGATTTTAATACACAAATATGAATTTAATGACAAATATTGTTTCGTAATACTCGTTACTAATATATCTAAATTAAAAATAAAATAATTACACATTGAGAAAAAATTCAAATAGGTACAATTTTTTTTATAAATTCTGATTGAGAAATKTGTCCATTACAATATTATGCATTGTGTTTTGCATGAAAAAAAATCGATTTGAATTTATCAGCACACAACTCATCAACTCAACTTGTCTGAAACCTAATAGAACTGCCGGGACACAACTCGTGTACCAGAAATTTGGTCTGGACAMAACTGCGTAGATTTCAACAATAATTTAAGAYATACTTAAAAATTAGATAGGTATCCTTTAATCGTGATTCTAACTCTTTCAACATAATATAGGTACCTATATAGTACATGAGTGCTAACTGACGATATATAAATATATTTTTGTGTATTTATGTGGTGCAGAATTGAGAATATACAGTACACCGTACACATAATATATATTTTAGTAAAGTAGTAAACTCCTGCACAGTAGGAATTTATTAGTAATAATATCGTTAGATGACGTATGAATTAAGAATTTGAATTAATATAATTTAAAAGTATCATTTTAAGCTTTTTTAAAAATGGTCATACTGCTAAATTYTTTGATAAAATTGATTGATATCTTATCATTTATCATTGTTGTTTTCACTTTTCATTCTTATCAGTTTTCTAAACCAAATATTGAAGTTACTAGATACAGGACGGTCTACAATCAAATACATTATTTAATTANATACTTAAAAATTAGATAGGTATCCTTTAATCGTGATTCTAACTCTTTCAACATAATATAGGTACCTATATAGTACATGAGTGCTAACTGACGATATATAAATATATTTTTGTGTATTTATGTGGTGCAGAATTGAGAATATACAGTACACCGTACACATAATATATATTTTAGTAAAGTAGTAAACTCCTGCACAGTAGGAATTTATTAGTAATAATATCGTTAGATGACGTATGAATTAAGAATTTGAATTAATATAATTTAAAAGTATCATTTTAAGCTTTTTTAAAAATGGTCATACTGCTAAATTYTTTGATAAAATTGATTGATATCTTATCATTTATCATTGTTGTTTTCACTTTTCATTCTTATCAGTTTTCTAAACCAAATATTGAAGTTACTAGATACAGGACGGTCTACAATCAAATACATTATTTAATTAYTCATTTTAACTTTAAAGTTAGTTTTKTTGGTAACCATACTTTCAGCTTTTAGACTTATTGTTGTTTGAAACTTAAGTAAAMATAAAAATAAATAAAGGTTTATTGTTAATAGGCACGTCTACATAGAGTTGAATAACAAGAGAAATCAGTTTCTTCAACTTTTAAGGTAATTTWTTTTTWTTTTTAAGATACCCGCTTAACATAAGCCAGGAAACGTCTATTATTTACAAAAKAATTTAATTGTAATGATACCTAAWTTCTAACAAATTTTTGTATTTTTTTTTTTAATGAGGTAGAAATATGAATTTTTAATTCTTATACCAGCTATTTACCTATTTAAAAATAACTTTTTTGATTAATATTACAATTTTACTTTTGAATCAACCTATTTTATTTAATTTATTGGAGATTTTATGCCTTATATTCTAATAATTACGAATTAATAAAATTATGAATTTTTATCTGTCAGAATAGCATTTATCTCGCTCCTCAAAATTAACTGACCATAGAGTCTGGGTCAGAAAAGCACACTGAATCCTAGGAAAACCTCACAACATTAACTWATTCGTGGTTTACTTAATTATTTTTGTGATCATGTAAAATTATGACATTATTGTGTCCTCAGTCTTATTTACTATACCTAATATTGCTTTTTACTCTATTTTTTATTTTTATACATGTTCTTGTATAGKTTATTAAAACTAAAATAACTTGTTAATTTTCATATTTTTTGGTATTGGTATTTCAATTTGTACAAGATAAAAAAAAAATTAAATTGGTATCTAGTATTGAATTGTAAAGAACTTATACTTAAAAAAAACTTTATTGTATATTTCTTGTAAAAAGAATTTGCTACTAAGAAAATTATTGAATAACTAATGAACTAGTAGGTACAAAAATACTTCCCTACTCTAGTTACCTACTAGGTACATAACATAATATTTAGGCTATTTATAAAAACTTGTAAATACATAATGTAAGTGTTAGTATAGTTATTAATTCTATATAATAATACAGTTTATTCTATGATTCAATAAATTTGGGATTTATTGAGTCTGCAATACGGAAGTCTGAAATTATGGATGGAATGTTTACTAGATCTCTGCCATAATGAAACAATTTATGAGCCAGTATRATTAAAGTGGGCAATTTCATGGAAACTATTACCTAACCTTCTATTTAATGAACACGATTAGGTTTAGTGTGATTTAGTGTTTGTTAAAAATAATTAGTAGGCACCTATTAGGATTTTACATTATACTAAAATGTAGGTAGGTACATCTAATTTATTTTAGATTCTCTGGACTCTCAATGATTTTTTTTTTT